ATTATTATTTTTATTACATGTTATTATATTTATTATTTTATTCTATCATTAAAAACACTTAAATACAATACAATAATTAAAATGAAGAACAATTTAAACAAATATAAAATTATTAGTATTTCAGTGGGAAGTGTGGGCCTGCTTTTGGGTGATGAGATAGGATTGTTGTTGTGTGCTTTCAAGTCATTTTAGACTTAGGTTGATCCTGAGTGAGGGCCAAGTAAATGACCCTGGAGGGTCGTATCCGGCCCCCAGGCCTTAGTTTGAGGACCCCTGGCCTAAACAGTGGGAAATCATAACCAGCATTGAACACAAGTCATAATAGCACCCTACCAGCCTGCTGCTTTCAAAGGAGACATGGTACATTTTGCCAAGCTGTTTAGATTCTGGTGGCTACTGACTCTCACAACTATTATTGCTAAATATAACAGTCCTGGCACCTGAAAGATATCTTTTATGGGCACAAAAAGCTAACAATCCTTCAAACATTCATTTTAAAAGCTCTCCTTTCCATTGGCCTATCTCCCATCAGTCATTTTTTCAGCTCTTTCTAATTGAGTGTGATAGATGCTCTTCAATGTCATGCTGCCTGTGCCAACTCAAACTCTGTCAAGTGACAAATTGGTAAAAGGAATAAAATGGGACAGAGCAATACAAGACCAAGCGGGGCTTAGCTGGCTTTTATTATGGCCTCTCTGATAATAAATACAGCTTGTTGTAATGGTCCATGGGGGGTTTGAAAAATCGGAAGGCCATCTTTTATAGGGCCTTTGCTTCATCCTCCATCTCCATCCTCATCTGCAACTCCAACTCCATCTCCAACTCCAACTACATCTCCAACTCCAACTCCAACTACATCTCCAATTCCAACTACATCTCCAACTCCAACTACATCTCCAACTCCAACTACATCTCCAACTCCAACTCCAACTCTAACAAACTGAGGGTTCTCATCTGATGGGATGCACAAGCTTTGTGGTCAGTTGCACTCCCAATGGCCGCCTTTCCTTACCCTGCAGCTTCACTTCTGCGTTGGTGTGGTACAGTCCACCGTGATGGGCCACCATCCGTGCAGCTTCCAGGTGAGCCATGACCACCTCCACGCTGTTGTCCATGTTTTCCCATGGCTCAGGATTCTCCGGAAGAGCTGTGTCTCGCTCCAGGAGTGTGATGAGAGGCACAATGTGGGGGAAGGTAGTATTGGACAAGGGAGGGCCTTCTGGAAAGAGAAAACAAAGTCTTTCTTGAGTCCCTGTTCGGGCGCCAAAATGTAGAAGCACTGTGCCCCCTTATATACCCATAGTCCTTTTTACCTCCGCATTAAAGACTAGAGATTGAGTAGATTAAAATTCCATCATTTAATTCTGCAGAAAATACTAAGTAGTGGCTTCAATCAAGAAAAACAAGTAAAGTGCCACGTTTGACTGTGTCTGGCTCATGGGTTTTTGGGCCGGGATTTAGCACAGCGGGTTAAACTGCCAGCTTCAGAAAATCTTGCTAATTGAAAGGTCGACAGTTCAGGCCCGGACTGGGGTGAGCTCCCAAATGTCAGCCCAGCTTCTGCTCATCTAGCAGTTTGAAAACTGTAGGTACTGCTGTGGTGGGGAGGTAATAAAAGGCGACCATGCGATTAGATCAGGAGAGTGTCTAAAGGCCACAAAGCTTCTGGCATGGAAGATGGAGTGGCAGCACCTCCCCATGGCTGGAGTCAAGCACAGCCTCCAGATGCCAGAGATGGAAAAAGATGGGACGCCTTTAACCTCTGTTTATTGTCTTTGTTAATTGTATAACAGTGTTCTGGAACAGCTGTTCCAGGAGCTCCAGATTTATTTGCTGTGTTTGCATGTTTGTGTGCAATCCCATGCTTGGGATTTGTAGCAGGGGGTTTCCTGTTATAATTTGCATTTATAGGGTAAGCCACCTGCCAGTTATAGTTAGGTTCCCTGATCCCGCCCCTTTTTGAGTTTTGGAGGGAAAAAAGCCATTTTGAGTTAGTTCTCACAGAGAAGCCTTTCGCACAGGACATAGAACGAAGTGGCTCCTGTAGAAAAGCTTCGTCTTTTACAGCTTGGCCGGGGTTATACAGCCCTACGGCTTGGCCAGGAGACATACAGCCACAGCTTGGCTGAGGGACTCAGCCGGCCATCACAGCAACCTGAACTCCTTCTTTTTCCCTGGAGGTCTACAAAGCTCTGTTGAGGCAAGGGTCACTCGCGGAAGCCAGACGCAGTTGGTACCGGGTGCAGGGGCTCCATGTCAACAGAGGCAAGTACAGACTGCCCAGATTAGAAGCTAGGATTTCCCCATCAGTTAGTTACAGTTAAGAAGACAGTGCCTGTTCCTAGTGGACAAGATTGAAAGAACCTATAGACTGTTAAGAAAACCGTTAAAGTACCTGTTTGTTCCTTAATAAAAGAACTTTGTTGGACTTACTTTAAGCATTCTAAAGACTCTGTTTGGGGGAATCTAAGGGCCTTTATTCTGAGGCAGCCCCGGCGTCCCGTTGGGCACAGAGAATTTATGTCCTGTGTACAGTCTAATGTACAGGCCCAGCGTGCGACAGCACAAACAGCATTGAATGTTTTCTGTATATGTGTACTGTAATCCGTTCTGAGTCCCCTCGCCGAGATAAAGTGCAATATAAATAAAGTATTTCTTATTTTTTACTGACACAAAAACACAGTATGTCACAGCAAATGAGATATATATGCTGGATTTCGTATCACAAAATCACAAGTCAAACCCTTCCCAAGCATCTAGGACTTATTTATTATTATTATTATTATTATTATTATTATTATTATTATTATTATTGTTATTGTTATTGTTATTATGGATTTTATAGTCTCAATTGATGTAAACACGCATATACGTACAAAAAATCAAAACTTTTTTCCTCCTGTCTTTAATGTTCCTCTCAGAGTCTTGCATAAATTAGTAATGGAACAGATTTAACAGACTAGGTATGTTCGACTCCGAGACCAGTAGATGATACTCTTCAGAGGACATCCTATATAAGAGTGCAAAAGCTTTTCCTCTGTTGACTTGAGCAATGCAACAAAATCTAATGGGATTCAGTTATAAGCAATTTTTGTTGAGGATCTGAAGAAATGTATTAACTGTAAGGATATCTGGACCATGGGAGGACTTCTATGAAGGATGGTGGACTCTCTTGTGCTGGAGGACTTCAGATAGACAGCCTGGTATTCAGAGTGCCACCAGATGAGGCTTGCATTGTGCAGCCATCTGGCCTCAAACATGGAATTTTTACTTGGGTCTGGATGATGTGATCTTCAATTCAGAACCCATTTAGTTTCCTCCCATTGCTTATTAAGAATCAAAATATTCACAGAAGGAATAGATAAACTCCTTCGCATGAGTATTTCTCTATAAGGACGTGACTATAATGAACAGAATAGGTGGGGAGGGATTTAGATGAATTCCCGTGCATTGGGCAGCCTGTTTCCAAAACTCACCATTGCCTTCGTTCAAGCTCTTCAGGAAAGGCTTCAGTTTCTTCTCATAGAGGATGGCTCCCTCCGTATGGCGCTGGCGTAGCACCATCCACGTCTGCTCCAGGCGCGAGATCTGGAATTCAAGGGAAAAGTGGGATAAGCCAACGAGGGCTGGGCACTTATTTATTAATTCCATTTATATATTCAGCACTCTGTTTAGGATGCCCAAGGGCAAGTATAAGAAATCTCATTTTAGGGTATGGGTTAATATATTCTGCCAGTTGATTTGCATGCTGAAGACCAGGCTCTGGAGACCAGGGTTCAAATCCACTGAGTAACCTTGGGCATGTCACACTCTCTCAGCCTTGGAGAAAGGCATAAACTCCCTCTGGATCAATTGAGTAGGATCCCACAGTAGGGCAGCCATGTGTCAGAAACAAAGGAACACAGCAACAATTCCAGCCATTGCTTCCAACTGAAATCTCAAGAGGAAATTACACAAGAATTTAAAAATGTTTCCTGGTTTCAATGCGCTCAATTACAAGAATACTTCAAAAAGGATAAAGAGCAGGGATTTTGCGAGAAGGATAGATTTTGGGACACTATAATTCAAAGTCACAAAAAAATATTACTAATATATATATATTATATTACTAGAATGGGCCACAGAAACAGAACAGATAAAAGAATGTATGGTCAAATGGGCTGTAAATATAGGAAGATCTATAAATTATAAAGAATGGGAACAATTATGGAATAAGAAGATGAAATACACATATGCCACGGAGCTAAAAGAAAATCACTATAAGATGATATATAGATGGTACATGACCCCACAAAAACTAAGTATTATGTATAAGAAAGCCTCAAATAAGTGCTGGAAGTGTGAGACACAGGTGGGAACATTCTACCATCTCTGGTGGACCTGCCCCAAGGCAAAAAATTACTGGAAGAAGATTCAGGAAATTTCCCAAAGAATATTAAACATTAAGATCCAGATGAAACCAGAATACTTTCTGTTGGGCATCACAGATGAAGACATTACTTTAGATTCAAATCAACACACTCTCTTTACCTATCTGATGGTAGCTGCTAGAATTGTCTATGCCAGGAAATGGAAAATGAAAGAACTGAGTACGATAGAAGATTGGTTGGATAAAATACAGGATATAAAAGATATGGATAAATTAACCTTCTATTTGAAAGACTATACTGGTACACCTATAAGACAAACGGATTGGAAACAGTTTGAAGACTTCGTGAAGAACTTTAAAGAATATAAATGACCTAAACTTATCTTCTTAGATATAGTGAAGGATAACATAAAGTAACAAAAAATATGTCTTTTAAAAAAAAATTAAATTGAGGAAAATATATCGCAAAGGATGAACCGCAATAAGGAAGAAGAAGCAAATAAAAAGAAGCAAAGGCGAAGACGTCAAGAAGAAGATTGGGAAGTCAATCTTCCCCTCTTTTTTTTTTCTACCTTAAACCCCACCCAACCCCACTTCCCTGATATTGTCCTAGTTTTTTTCCACCCACCCTCTTTCCTTCCCTTTACCTTTCTTTGGTTTTTTTTCTTTCTTTTTTTCCTCCCCTCTCTCCTTCCCTTTTTACCCTACCCAAAATTTACCTCGACCTTCCCATATTTTTCCACCCTCCCCCTTTTGTTCGCCCCCTTTTATGTAATAAATTTGAAAAACTACAATAAAACTTAATTTTAAAAAGTGGCCATGTAAGCTGGGAGATTCTAAAAATTATGGTCTAAGTAAGTAATTTTTCCAAGCTTTGCCTTGAAATGTGGGTAAATGGCTGCATATCCTTTCCTTTCCTCCTTCCCCTTCCCTCCTTCCTTCCTTCCTTCCTTCCTTCCTTCCTTCCTTCCTTCCTTCCTTCCTTCCTTCCTTCCTTCCTTCCTGTTTCAGTATTTCCACCTCAGTGTCCAGGTGATGCAGAACACCTGCACTTCTTTTTAGATCGAGGTGTTGTAGATCAGCTACCAGACGGTGATGGTTTAACTGATGATTTAGAGAGGACTGTGAGTTTTCCTGTGGCACAAAGTGATGGGCCCTCAAGTTTGGGAAATGATGTTTCTCTCCATGAGAAAACTGGCTCGGAAAGTGCAGGGCTTCAAGGGCAGTCGGGGAGTCAGAAGTAGCAATAGCAAATAAGGAATCGAGTGAAGAGCTGAGTGATAAGGAGGGTTCTCATGAGAACCCATCTGTGGCTACAAAGATCAACAAAAGTCTTCGTTTACAAATCAGACCCAAAAATAGATTGCGTCATTCAGAGAAATTGCGTTGGAAAGTTGTGAAGGAAACTCATAAGAAACTGAATGATTTCATGGGTGTCTATTAAACAAGTTGTTTACCTTAAGCTCAGTTCAGGCAACACTGTTTAATAAAGTTTAATAATAATAATAATAATAATAATAATAATAATAATAATAATAATAATAATTTATACATCTTCCTTTCTTATTCCTGTTTTTAAATGTATGCTTTTAAATATTTTTATAATAAACCATTTGCTTATATTCCTGGACTCATGTGTGGTGCGGTGGTCATGAGTTTTTCCAGGCCTGGAGTTCAACACCAGGAACTTTTTGTCCCTCCACTCTGACATGGCATTTGGGGTCATCCTAAGCTCCAGATCCGTTTACAATGCACTACAGTGTTTCCTCGCTACTTCGCAGTTCACTTTCCACGAACTCGCTGATCGCAGTATTTTTTTAAAAAATGAACTTGAAATATACAAGTATCAAGGGAAGACTATATACCCATTGCTTCTCCAGCGTAGATGCTGCCTCCTCATCTTCTTCCTCCTCCTTGCTTGACGAGGTCTTACTCATCCCACATTTTCTCTTCTCAGAGAAGAGGAGAAGGAGGAGGAGGAGGCCTTCCTGCTGGGTTCCCACATGTTGCCCCAGTCCCGGACTTCCACGTCCAGGTCGAGCAGGCTTCCCTGCTGCTGCTGCTACTGCCATAGTGGCGCTGGGCCTGAACAAGTAGCAGGGTGAGGCAGCCATGGCCCTGTCTTGGTGACCCCTCTGCTGCCACTGCCCCTGCGCCCTGCTCGGCCCTGCCTCTGGAGGAACCTGGCCTGGAAGAGGAAGGCCGTGAGTGAAGGAGAGAGCGGGGTGGTGGGGTAGGAAGGGAGGAGACGAAAGAAAGGAGGGAGCGACATCAAGCTTGAGATTGTGTGTGTGTATATATATGGATTTGCGGATTTTCACTTATTGCGGGTGGTCCTAGAACGTAATACCCATGATGAGGGAACACTGTATTGCTTTTCAGTGGTCATTCAATGTACAAGAATGCAATTTGTGGGTGAGAGAGAGCAGACCACATCATTTAGAGGTTCTACCTGGGTCATTTCCAGTGCGTTCATCACAGCCGCAAAACTGAACATGTTGCCCATTGTACTCTTCAGCTCTGCGGCCAGCTGGATGGTCTTGTGAAGCAGGGATGCCCTCTCCTCCATGCTGCCGGTGCAGCCCAGGATGTCCACCGCGATCATGATGGTCATTGTATGGAACCTATGAGAGGCGAGGGAGGAATGTGAGAAGGGGAGCAAGGGGTGCGCAGTTCCTTAGGAACTTTGCCATTTCAAGACCACCAATCGTGTCCTGTCCAAGGGAAGGCAAAGCACGGTACTTGGATAATATTGTCATCCTTGCTCTGTCCCTTGCGCCTTACCTTTCCAACAAATCCAGCCGAAGTTGGTGTCCATGGGGCAGGGTGAGCAGCTCCATCCCGGAGCTCACGCCCATGAGTCTCTGCGTCTCCTTGGAAACGCCCAGTATCCTAGCAACCTGCAACAAAGAACGTGGTTTAATCTCACTCTTCCGATGGAGCTCATCGTATTATTACTGTTTTCCGCATACAGAGACTCCAGGGGGCTTATTTAGTGGAAATGAGTCCCAGCAAGATAAAGAACGTTGACACAAATTTAATGAAAAACAGTGGCTGCAGATTTAAAATTGCATGTGCATACTCTGAAACATCTACAGGGTTGACCCACCTTATACCCCTCCTTGCATAATGTATTGCATTTAGCTGATCCTGGCCAGCTTCCAGAGATATTCCACAACACCAAGAGGTGGGAGAGGATGAGGTTGACAGCGAATGCAAAAGGCCAAGCAAGATGGTTGCTGGTGTTTCTTCTCGAGAGCCTGCCAAATGGTTCTGGGAGGGATGGAGGAACACCAATGGTTTTCTCTCCTTCTTGTGTTGCACGCCATGTTTGCAGGATCAGCTAAATCCTCTCCCCGATGAAAACAAACCACTGAACCTGGCTTCAGCCTGGGGGAAGCAGATAAGCGCTTGCTCCAAAACAGCCAAGGACAAGGCGACTCTGGGGAGAGGCCTTTGCAACATGCAGTTTCTCAGCCTCATTTGACGTGGCGCTAACGCAGAAGGCCAGGGAGGATGGAGAGGGAAGGCAAGTGTCCAAGTACAGGCACATCTTTCAAAAACAAAACTTCAGCGACAATTGATAAGCACTACCTCAAGATGGATAGATGGCATCCTTGAAGTGACTGGACTGACCTTGAAGGAGCTGGGGGTGGTGACGGCCAACAGGGAGCTCTGGCGTGGGCTGGTCCATGAGGTCACGAAGAGTTGGAGACGACTGAACGAATGAACAACAACAACCTCCCATGAACCTGGGTTTGAATAATGATGGGATATGTCATATGTTCTGCAGTTGATGGTGGTTGGTGATGGAAGTATTAGTTCTAGAGCAGTGTTTCTCAACCTGGGGGTCGGGACCCCTGAGGGGGTCGCGAGGGGGTGTCAGAGGGGTCACCAAAGACCATCTGAAAACACAGTATTTTCTGTTGGTCATGGGGTTCTCTGTGGAAACTTTGGACCAATTCTATCGTTGGTCAGAATGCTCTTTGATATGTAGTGAACTATAAATCCCAGCAACTACAACTCCCAAACGTCAAGGTCTGTTTTCCCCAAATTCCACCAGTGTTCACATTTGGGTGTATTGAGTATTCATGCCAAGCTTGGTCCAGATCCATCATTGTTTGAGTCCACAGTGCTCTACAATGAACTACAACTCCAAAACTCAAGGTCAATGCTCACCAGACCCTTCCACTATTTTCTGTTGGTCATGGGAGTTCTGTGTGCCAAGACTTTGGTTCATTCCATCGTTGGTGGGGTTCAGAATGCTCTTTGATTGTAGGTGAACTATAAATCCCAGTAACTACAACTCCCAAATGACAAAATCAATTCTCCCTCCAACCCCACCAGTATTGAAATTTGGTATATTGGGTAAGGTAAGGTAAAAGTTTTCCCCTGACATTAAGTCCAGTCATGTCCAAGACTGGGATTGGTGCTCAATTTCTAGGCCGAAGAGCTGGTGTTGTCCATAGACACTTCCAAGGCCAACATGTCTGCATGGAGCTCTGTTACTGGTTATTTGTGCCAAATTTGGTCTAGTGAATGAAAATTCATCTTGCATTTCAGATATTTTTATTATGATTCATAACAGTAACACAATTACCGTTAGGAAGTAGCAACAATAATTATTTTATGGTTGGGGGTCACCACAACATGAGGCGCTGTATTAAGGGGTCGCGGCGTTAGGAAGGTTGAGAAACACTGTTCCAGAGGGTTTGCTAATCTGTAAGTGAAAGTTCATGGGTGAAAGCAATTAGGGGTGGAGGTGTGCAGGAGATGGGTTGTAGCTGAGTGTTACTAGATTTAAGGAGATAACCTTGAAACTGATCTTTGGGAGAAAAGTATCTGTTGTATTTTGGTGGTGGATGCTGCTGGTTTTTCCCCCAGGTCCGTTGGATTTTTCGGTATCCTAACCTGTCTCCTGTAATCTTGGAATCCGGGAATCTTGAACCTTTGGACTGGCTTTTGACTACGGTATAGACTCTTGATCCCTGGACTTTGTTTATTGAACTCTTGGCATTTGACCACTGGACTGGACTCTTTTGACTACGGAGTTGTTTTTTGCTATCAGTTTTTGTTTATTCTGTGGCTGGGTGCTATTTTTATGTTTTCTGTTTTGGTCTATTAAAACAGCCAGCAAGTAAGTAAGTGCTGTTTTAATTAAACTGTTTGATAAAACTGGGAGTTTGGTTCATCTCTACCTAAATAAGGTAGAGCCCTGGCAACGTGACAGGATATGAGAGGCGGCTGTCACAGGTTCGAGGGAGACCTTTCATTCATGTCAGTGGCTCTCCTGTCCAAAATCTGGAAACTAATATTTTTGGAATGAGTTGCACAGAAATCAGCATCAGGCTAGATGGTCATCTGTTGGGAGAGTTCTTTCGATAGGGCCGGGCTTTAGCACAGCAGGTTAACCACCAGCTGCAATAAATCTTGCCGATCGAAAGCTTGGCAGTTCGAAGCCCAGGCCTGACCTCCAGCCCAACTCACTGCCCACCTAGCATATCAAGAACAGATATGAGTAGATAAATAGGTGCCGCTTAACCAGGGAGGTATTTTAATGGCACCATTGGGATCAGTGGCGCAGTGGGTTAAACCGCTGAGCTGCTAAACTTGCTAACCGAAAGGCCAGTAGTTTGAATCCGGGGAGCAGCGTGAGCTCCTGCTGTTAGCCCCAGTTTCTGTCAAGCCAGCAGCTCGAAAATATTCAAATGTGAGTAGATCAATAGGTACCGCTATGGCAGGAAGATAACGGCACTCCATGCAGTCCACATGACCTTGGAGGTGTCTTCAGACAATGCTGGCTCTTCGGCTTAGAAATAGAGATGAGCAACAGAGTCCCAGAGTCGGACACGACTGGACTTACTAAGGAAATACCAGGAAATACTGGCAATTTGATTAAAAAGGAGGAAGTCTGTGAACATGGCTGTTTCGCATGTAGGATGGAGCAACAGCATCTCCAGTGGTCAGAATCAAGCACAACCTCCAAGATGCCGAAAGACAGGAAAAGCCTATATACCTCTATCTGTACTGTTGTCTGTCTTGTCATTGTATAATTGGCATTGAATGTTTGCCGGATATGTGTTCTGTGATCCACCCTGAGTCCCCTTTGGGGTGAGAAGGGCGGAATATAAATACTGTAAATAAATAAATAAATGTGGTCCCAGAAAAGTAAGCATTTCAAGCTCTGATTCCACCAGGCTTATCCAGTAGTAAGGCATGCAACACCGTGATTTGATCTGAGTGTGATAACCCGCAACTGTTCCTCCCTCCCTCCCCAGATGCCCCTATTTTTTCATACCAGGCAATCCACTTGGGTGATATGTTTGGCAATTGTTTTGGCATCCACTTCGGCCAGGAGCTCCTTCACCTTCTTCAGCACAGCCATTTCCAAGGGCTTGTTTTCCAGGGGGATGAGGAGGGAGTGGAACACCGCGGGGTTGAAGGAAGAGGTCCGTTCCACTACAGGAACCACCATGCCCACAGTGTCCTGCTCCGGCCTCCTCCGGGGTCCAGCCTCGGAGCCGTTCAGTCCAAGGCCCCGCTGGGCCTCGTCCCCCTTGAGCCGTTCCACGTAGCCCTTGGCCGACGGTGCCTTGCCATCCCCTGGCGGTCGGTCCCATTGAACCGGGGAAGGAGGGTGCAGCTGGCAGTAATGTCCCGTGTCTGGGTCGCTGTAGCTGCTGACCGAAGGAGAAGGGGATGCCCGGGAGTAGCCGTGGGACGGGGTGGAGCGGCTGCTGTCGGAAGGGTCGGCTTTGCTCCCGTTCCCTTGGCACAGCTGCGGCTCACTGGAACGCCTGGTGACGGGGGAGCCTGGGGAGACGCTGTTGCCGGCCTGGCCTCCGTTGGGTTTTAGCCGAGAGACTGCAATGCAAAACACCAAACTTGGACACAAGATACATATCAGGCCAACGAGTGTCCATCACTCATAAAAACACTGAAAAACACAGCAGAAGAGACTAAAAAGCCAAAAAACAAAAAAAAATACATTACAGTGCATGCTCAAAATCACACATATATACACAAATACACACATGTCGCAGGTTTGAATCTGGGGAGCGGCATGAGCTCTCACTGTTAACCCCAGCTTCTGCCAACCTAGCAATTCTAAAATATGCAAATGTGAATAGATATCAATAGGTATCACTCCGGCGGGAAGGTAACAGTGTTCCATTCAGTCATGCCAGCCACATGACCTTGGAGGTGTCTACGGACAACGCCAGCTCTTCGGCTTAGAAATTGAGATGAACACCAGAGTCCCAGAGTCAGACACGACTAGACTTAATGTTAGGGGAAAACGTTTACCTTTACCCTACACAAATATATTTATACACACAAAACACATATGCACAGACTGGGCCACAGCAACGTGTGGCAGGGAACAGCTAGTAAAGAAATAAATAACAGTACCAGTAAGGGGCAGCAAAGTGAATTGTGCCTACTATTAGCTGCTTGGTGTGTCTTCTGCAGGCGTTAGTCAACTTGGGCCCTCTCTCCAGGTATTTTGGACTTCAACTACAATTCTTATAGGTCAGAATATCTGTCTTTCCCTCTCTTATTATCATTTTTTAAAATGTATGTAGAGCATATGTCCATTTTCTATTAGGGAATTTAAAGAACTTGAATAATAATAATAATAATAATAATTATTATTATTATTATTATTATTTGAAACACAACAAGATGAGTCCACAGCAGACACTCTGCTGGCTGTTGAATTGGATCACACGTCGGACACTTCCCAAGTGTCTAGGATTGTGTGATGTATCGGGGAACAATGCGTGCAGATCCCAGTAAGGTGGCCTTCTGCAGCTGGCAGATGGTAATTTTGTCAGTGTCGATTGTGTTTAAGTGCAGGCCAAGGTCTTTAGGCACTGCACCCAGTGTGCTGATCACCACTGGGACCACCTTTACTGGAATTAATAATAATAATAATAATAATAATAATAATAATAATAATAATAAAAAATATAATAATAATAATAATATAATAATAATATATTATTATTATTATTAGAAACAGAACAAGCTTAGTACATAGCAAACAAGATCACTATGCAGGTTGTTGTATTGGATCATTACAGTGTTCCCTCGCTACTTTGCGGTTCACTTTTCACGGACTCGCTGTTTTGCGGGTTTATGAATGGTTGCCGTTGCCCAGACCAGCATTCTAATCCCGCCCCCTGGCAATGATGGAGAGTGGAAGGGGGTTTCACCCTCCCCTTCGGGAGAGAGGCAGCCAATCAAGAGAGATTGCAAAGCAGAGCAGAGATAGCTAGCAAAAAAAAAAAAAAGGTGTGCCGTGCCTTTAAATCTCTCTTCGCTTCTGCCTCACCCTCGGAACTCGATATACATATATAGCATCCCTACTTCGCGGATTTTCACTTTTCGTGGATGGTCTGGAATGTAACACCCATGGTAAGTGAGGGAGCACTGTATTATTATTATTATTATTATTATTATTATTATTATTATTATTATTTAAAAGTGTCTTAATCAGTAGCATTTCCCAGTAAAGTTGAGCCCTTCCTACCAGTGCTGTAAGCTGGGGTTGCAGGGGTCTCGGAGATGGGAGACATTGAGGAGTGGAGGTCTTGAATCTGATCCACGCTGACCGCACAGTTCCGGATGATGTCCCGGTGATGCGGCAAGGAGACGCTGCGCAAAGAAGAGGAAGATCGTTGGCTCAAGTAACTCCAAAAGGATCGTGCATGAAAAATGCATGAAAAAAAATCACCCCCTTCCCCCTCTAATGTATCAACAAAACATCCTGTGGTGCCATAAAACCTGACAAGATATGTTAGATGATCCTGAAAAATGCACTTTTGCAACATGGACGGGCTTTATCACAGTAGGTTAATCACCAGTTGCAGTAAACCTTGCCAACCAAAATGTTGACAGTTTGAAACCCGGGTCAGGGTGAGCTCCTGACCTTCAGCCCAGCTCCCTGCCCATGTAGCAGATCGAAAACAGAAATGTGAATAGATAAATAGGTACAGAGTTAAAGCAGGGAGGTATTTAGGCACGGTGATTCTATCAAAAGGGAGGACAATTATGAACAAAAAAGCTCTTCAGCAGGGAAGATGGAGTGACAGCACCCCTTGTGGCCGGAACCGAGCACAGCCTCCTGATGCAGGAAATGGAAAAGATGGGAAAAGTCTTTACCTCTGTTTATGTATTGCCTGTCCTTGTTAATTGTACAATGGCACTGAATGTTTGTCATATGTGTATACTGTAATCCACCCTGAATCCCCTTGGGGCGATAGAGCAGAATATAAATAAAGTATATTATAACATAGAGGATGAATTTGCTATTTGTATGTGATTTTTTGTGTGTCAGGAGTGACTTTAAAAACAGTGTGAGAGAACTGGCCGTCTGCAAGGACATTGCCCAGGGACACCCGGATGATATCCTGTGGGAAGCTTCTTTCATGTCCCTGCATGAGAAGATGGAGCTGACAGACGGGAGCTCACCCTGCTCTCGGATTCAAACCACCGACCTTTTGGTCAGCGGTCCTGCCGGCACAACAGTTTAACCCATTGCATCGGGGGCACTGTGATGGAATGTAGCTCAAGATATACTGGATCTTCAGGTGATTTGCAGTGGATCAGCCAGATTCCCATTGGCTTGATGAGAATGACAACAGAAAGACCTTTTCTGTCTCTGCCCTACACTGAACCACTAAAGTCAAGTTACCTTCAAGGGAAACAGGACGTTATGAAAGGATATATGGATTTAACAACAAATTCTGCCCTTCTTGTATTGCAATTCTGTACAGTGTTCCCTCGATACTTTGCGGTTCGGTTTTGGTGGACTCGCTGTTTCACAGGTTTTTGAAAATATTACCATATATACTCAAGTATAAGCCAACTCGAATATAAGCCGAGGCACCTAATTTTACCACAAAATCTGGGAAAATGTATTGACTTGAGTATAAGCCGAGGGTGGGAAATGCAGCAGCTACTGGTCAGTTTCAAAATACAAACAGATATCAATAAAATTACATTAATTGAGGCATCAGAAGGTTAAATGTTTTTGAATATTTACATAACACTGTAATTTAAGATAAGACTGTCCAACTCTGATTCTAACCTTCTTCAACGTAAATGTGCTTATGTATCCTTCCAATAAGAATAAAGAGAGTAACATAATAATAATAATAGAGTAAAATAATCGAAATGTAAGAACAGTAATAATAGAGTAAAATAATAAATGTAATTGTCAGATTTTACAATGTATTGTAATGTAATATAGCTGAGTCATGCACTGCTCATCGGCTTCTATTGGAAATGCTGAGTCATGCATTAACTGTATATAGGGAATCATTTGGGGAATGTGTTCTGGCCTAGTCCAGGTGATTGTGAATGATGCAATCCTGGGTCTGAGTTAATTTAATGAGTTGGGAACCAATCAGAGACTGCTATGTGTAATTGTATAGAATTGTATATAAGGAAGTCATGTACAGTGTATTCTCTCTCCTTGAGCTGTGATGCTGTTCGTCAAAGGCTCTATGTAATTGATTAAAAGAACCTGTCTGCTAAGACAACATATAACCGTGTGCTGTGGTAAGTTTGTAGTGTCATCTAGATTGGAGGGGAAAACAATAGTAAAACTGACAATGGCCGGGCATGTGCTCAAGTGTCTGTAAAAGGTTCCAGAGTGACTGCAGGTTGTGGGAGCAGTTGACTAAAAATACTGTGTAGGAAGAAGCTACTGGAAAGCGCTGAAGTTGTCCAACTGATCTGCTGCCTAATTGTGAAATTAATCTCAACAGTAATAATAACAATAATAAATAGAGTCAAATAATACATGTAATAATAACAATAATAAAGTAAAATAATAATGTAATAATAATAATTGAGTAAAATAATAAATGCAATAATAATAATACATAGAGTAAAATAATACATGTAATAAAAATAATAATAACGGAGTAAAATATTAAATAACGTCGACCCGAATATAAGCCGAGAGGAACTTTTTTAGCCTATAAAAACGGCTGAAAAACTAGGCTTATACTCGAGTATATACAGTAATTTAAAAAATTAAGTATAAAATATTTTCGTTCAGTGGAAGCCAGGGACCCCAGAAGTGTGGCGGGAATACTGTATTCTTGCAAAACAGTCTTGAACCCAGTTCTAAGACCTCAAGGTTCCTTTTTGAATCTCCCTGTCCTCCAATAGTTTCAAAGTCCCTGGTGCCTGGCTGAGCTCCAATTACCTGGTGGGGCAGCCCTCGCCCCTAATGATCTTGTCAGCCGTCAGCCCGTCGGTCATGGTGATGCTCCTCCGCTTGATGTGCCCCCCTTTCTGGTTGTTGTGGCCGTGTGAGCCGCTGTGTTTCCCATTGGCAAGTCCATAGCTGGCCTCCAGATAGCGCAGGGGGAAGGTGCGGTTGATGGGGCAGTAGAAGATGGCCCCGCTCTGCTCTGAGACCGGCTTGCGGTTGCCCACGTAGAAGCGCACCAACGCTGGGATGTTGTCGAAGCTCTCCTGCTCAAAGAGGTACTGGATGTGAGTGCGGCCTTCGCTGGACTTGACCATCACCTTGTTGATCTTGAAGTGGAGGGGCTCGTTCCGCCAGCGGCACGTCAGCACATAGTCCCCCAGGCTGGTGAGCGAGTCACGTATCAAAAAGTCCCCGTTTCTCTGTACTAGACTCTCAGAAACCTGAGAGGTCCAGGTAGGCGAAGGGGAAAAAAGGAGATTATTATTATTGAGACTTGCTTTGTGATGTGCAATGTCTTGGAAGAAGCTGAGATGGAGCTCACGTGTGAGAGGAACGGTTTGGGTTTAGTCTTGTCCTAGCTGGCCTAGGAAGCCAACAATTACAGAAACTCCAAGCCTGAGATGGAGAAAAGGCAGTGCTTCTGGGCCGGGCTTTAGCACGGCAGGTTAATTGACAGCGGCAGTAAATCTTGCCAACCAAAAGGTTGACAGTTCGAAGTCTGGGTCAGGGTAAGTTCCTGGCCTTTAGCCCAGCTTCTGCCTATGTATGTATTTATTTATTTACAGTATTTATATTCCATCCTTCATACCCTGAAGGGGATCAGGGTGAACCACAATGCACATGTACATGGCAAATATTCAATGTCACTTTTAGACATACAAGACAATTAGAGGTATTTTGGCATTTTCCAACTTTGGCGCCTGGAGGTTATGCTCAATTCTGGCCACAGGGGGGTGCTGTTGCTTCATATAGTTCACCAAGGAGCGTTCTGAACCCCACCAATGATAGAATTGGGCCAAACTTTCCACACAGAACCCCCATGACCAACAGAAAATACTGTATTTTCTGATGGTCTTTGGCGACCAATCTGACACCCCTTCGCAACCCCCTTAGGGGTCCCCACCCCCCATGTTGAGAAACACTAATGTAGGGAGACCAACCTAACGGGTAGCAAAGTGCTTCTGAGGACAACTGCAGAGAATTAATCAGAGCAGGGCATTGTTTCCTTATTCAGGGAAAGCACACTGGAACAGCCACGTTTTCAGGCTCCTCCTAAAGACTGCCAAAGTGATGGCTTGTCTGATATCCTTCGGGAGTGAGTTCCAGAGTCGGGGGGCCACCACAGAGAAGTCCCTCTCCCTCGTCCCCACCAATCGCACCTGCGAAGGGGCGGGAGTGAGAGAGTGAAAATCCGTACTTTGCGGATTTTCACTTATTGTGGGTGGTCCTGGAACAGAACAGCCACGATAAGTGAGGGAACACTGTATACCTCAGTCTATGTAAAGTTTTCTGTTTTCTCAGTGTATAATGGCATTCAGTGTTTGCTGTATATGTGTGCTGTCATCTGAAGGGCGGAAAATAAATATAAATACTGTAAATAAATGACCACTCTGTCTGCTGTCCCGAATTGTCCTACATTGTGTGTGGAGTCTCCTCACCATCCTCTTATCAGATGGAAACTCACTGATTGACCAATATCTCCCCCTTCTTTGCCCATCCCACCCCTTTGCCCCTATGTGGTGCAGTCGTTGCTTAGGAGAACTGAAGGGCCAGAGGTTTCCCCAGTGGCACCTCACCTCTCGCGGGATGCGCCCGTGGTACCAGGCGTGGCTCCGGAGGTCTGTGCTGCTGAGCTTCAGCTCTTCTTCCAGCTCTTTGTGAAGCTTCTCTGGCGACGAATCGAGGATGTACTTCTCCTTGGAGAACTGCGGAGAGAGGGAGGAGGAGATGACATCAGAGGCAGCCACCTGGTCCTTCTCTGCTCTGCCGGCTGCAAGGAAGAGTCCCAAAGCACCCCCAGCCCCCCAGGAGAGGACTGATGCCCGGTCCAGCTGGTGCCAATCCTACTTAATGTCTTCCTAATTGCCGCAGGAAAAGCGGGGATGGATGGCTTAAGCAGGAGAGAAGAGGCAACGTGATGCAAGGGTTTGGAAATTGGGCTACAAGGTTACTGTGAGTTTTCCAGGCTGCATAGCCATGTTGCAGAAGCATTCTCACCTGACAGTTCAGCCACGTCTATAGCAGGCATCCTTTTTTTTTAATGAAACAGTAACTCGGTTTATTTGTAGCATTCTTGTGGCATAAGCGTAGTGGTTACAAAGGATCAAATGCTTGCTGATTACAGAACAACGTTTCAATATGAGTTTCATTCAATCTATTCCTTTCCTCCTGGAGGGCTGTTATGCTAATACATAATACAGAGGTTGAGGGGCACAATTCAAAGTGCTGGCTTTGGCCTATAAAGCCCTAAACGGCCCCGGCCCAAATTACCTGTCCGAACGCATCTCCCGCTATGAACCATTGCGGAGATTAAGATCCTCCAGGTAGGCCCTGCTTTCCGTCCTGCCATTGCCACAGGCGTGATTGGTGGGGACAAGAGACAGGGCCTTCTCGGTGATTGCTCCCCAGCTATGGAACTCCCTTCCTGGTGAGATCAGGTCGGCCCCCTCCCTCCTGATCTTTAGAAGGGCGGAATATAAATGTTTTAAATAAATAAATAATAAATAAAAAGACCAGAAACCCGACCCATCTTCTGCTCTTTTCCTCCTCCTGCTTCACTATCTCGCACCAGGATTTTGCAGAGAGAGAAAGCCTGTTTTTATGCCTGGTTTTAAGGATGTCGTGAGTCCAAACTGGCTAAGTGCCCCTTGCCACCTCTGCTCAGGCTACAAGGCAGCCAAATCTCTCCCAAAGCGCTACGGCTTCCGAAGATACTAAGCCAACGCACTTGTGCTAATCATGGCAGATCTGGCCCTGGCCGTTATACAGTTCCCCTTTCCCTTTTTGCAGCTTGCCCTCCTAATCCTCCGTTCCCTGCAGGGATTTCACAAAGCCTGCATTCACTTTCCTTGCATTTGCCAGGTTCCTAATTTGGAATGCCAAAGAGAAACGTACTTGTGAGAACAAGACAGAGAAGGCCTTTTCAGTGGTGGCCCCGCTGCTCTGGAACTCCCTCCTTGCTTTTATTCAGGACCAAGTTAAAACTTTCCTATGGAAACAGGCCTTCCCTGAAGGTGGAGAGTAGCATTGCAAACACTAGATTGATATGCGCAATGTACAAATTATAGTGGACCTCCGGCAACGGACCTGGCAACGGCCTAAAGGAATGGATTGTTTTGGTCTGATGATTATGTTTATTTTTCTACTATGCAATGTATTGTTTACATTGAGTCCCAATCTGGGAGAAAAGCCCATTATTACTGTGCCTGCGTATATTGTAATTTTTAGATTGTTACTAGCCGTCCCCTGCCACGCGTTGCTGTGGCCCACATGGGGGTTCTGTGTGGGAGTTTGGCCCAATTCTATCGTTGGTGGGTCAGAATGCTCTGTGATTGTAGGTGAACTACAACTCCCAAATGTCAAGATTCTATTTTCCCCAAACTCCACCAGTGTTCACATTTGGGCATATTGAGTATTCGTAGAGTTTGGTCCAGATCCATCATTGTTTGAGTCCACAGTGATCTCTGGATGTAGGTGAACTACAACTCCAAAACCAAAGGACACTGCCCACCAAAACCTTCCAGTATTTTCTGTTGGTCATGGGAGAACTGTGTGCCAAGTTTGGTTCAATTCAATCGTTGGTGGGGTTCAGAATGCTCTTTGATTGTAGGTGAACTATAAATCCCAGCAACTACAACTCCCAAATATCAAGATTCTATTTCCCACCAGTGTTCACATTTGGGCATATTGAGTATTCTTGTAGAGTTTGGTCCAGATCCATCATAGTTTGAGTCCACAGTGATCTCTGGATGTAGGTAACTACAACTCCAAAACCAAAGGACACTGCCCACCAAACCCTTCCAGTATTTTCTGTTGGTCATGGGAAACTGTGTGCCAAGTTTGGTTCAATTCCATCGTTGGTGGGGTTCAGAATGCTCTTTGATTGTAGGTGAACTATAAATCCCAGCAACTACAACTCCCAAATGACAAAATCAATTTTTTTTGAGTGAAGGACATACATTGGGTTGTTAGGAGTCTTGTGTCCAAATTTGGTGTCAATTCGTCCACTGGTTTTTGAGTTCTGTTAATCCCACAAACGAACATTACCTTTTTATTTATATAGATGTATTCATATGTTTTATGTAACTATGATGTTATTGTTTATTGTTCACGTTTTCGGTTTGTGTTTTGGTTTTTCTTTATTGTAATTGTCATTTGGGCTTGGCCTCATGTAAGCCGCTCCGAGTCCCCATCGGGGAGATGGTGGCAGGGTTATTATTATTATTATTATTATTATTATTATTATTATTATTATTATTAAATGGGATAGTAATAAATCTATACACATAATAATATCTGTGGGGTGTCCACTTCCACAGACGAGCTCCTACCTCCACAAACAGCTACTCAGGAGATACCAATGGCCCTCCTTCCAATGACACTGCCTACCATCCTAGTGAAGGCTTTCATATAGGGACAATTCCAACCTAGATTTGATGTGCTTCCTCTGCTACAGACATCCCAGTGTTCCTTACTCTCTTCATTGGTGTGGAATTTGCATGACCCTGCCCACTGCCTCTCCCTTAACCCTATTCTTTTCTATGTCACACAGCAAGCAGAAGGGTTGATTAAGGGAGAGGCAGTGGGCAGGGTAATGCAAATTCCACACCAATGGAGAGAATAAGGAACAATGGGATATATAGGAGTTGAAGGTACTGTGATATATAGTTCACCTGCAATCTAAGAACTGCACTCTGGACTCCGCCAATGATGGACCTGGAACTAACTTGGCACACAGAATCCCTAAGACTCGAGGTCTTTGGAGGGATTTATAGGAGTTGTAGTTCACCTACATCCAGAGTAACCTATGGAACCGAACAAGGATGGATCTGGACCAAAACTTGCCATGCATACCCGATATGCCCAAATTTGAATACTGGTGGGTTTTGAGGGGAATTGGCTTGGACATTTTGGAGTTGTAGGTACTGGGATTTATAGTTCACCTGCAATCAAGGAGCACCCTGAACTCCACCAAAGACAGAATTGGACCAAACTTGGCACACAGAGTCCCCAAGAGCAGCAAAAAAATACTGGAGGTCTTTGAGGAAAATTCACCTTGATTTGCGGAGTTGTAGTTCACCTACATCCAGAGAGCACTGTGAACCCAAACACCGATGGATCTGGACCAAACTTGGCACACATACCTGATATGCCAAAATTTGATTACTGGAGGGGTTTGGGGGGAACTGACCTTCCTTTCTGGGAGTTGTAGTTCACCCACAACCAGAGAAACTGTGACCTCCAGCGATGATGGACCTGGGCCAAACTTGGCACACAGAACCTCCACGACTAACTCAACCTACTGGAGGGATGTGAGTGGACTGACTCACCATAGCTGGAGTTGTAGTTCACCCTACAAACTGAGAGCACACTGAACCCCACCAATGACGCATCTAGAACAAACTTGCCCAACATGACAAATTTTAATTACTGATTTTTTTGGGGTTAACCTGGCATGATGGGAGTTATAGTTCACCCACAACCTTATGCATTTTGTACAATTAAATAAATAGCCTGGGCAATGCTGGGGACCCAAACTAGTAAATAAACAAACAAACAATAACAATACTGTTTGTTTGTAGGCATCCACTAGGAGATCTGGAGAGAACAATGCAATGGACAGGAGCCACCCTTTCCTCGCACTCCCCGCAAACCACCCTGAAATGTGGGCGGCAGATTGCCAGATTGAGGCAGAAACGTCTTCCTTCCGCAAAAGGGTTAAACAAACCCCTGCTGCTGCTGCCTGTCAAGCTGGCTGGTGCAATGAATAATGATGATATAGGTTGAAATAGGGGAGCCTTTGCATTGAGATGAGTGGGGATGGGCCGGGGGCAAACATCCGTCCATGCACCTGAGCCTTAAGCACACAAGCCCACCCCCTTCATTTCTCCGGCCCCTTTGGGAGAAAAGGGCATCTGGGTTGGAAGCAGCAGCAGACACTGAAGGGGATGCTTTGCTGTGTGAATGCGGCAGAGAGAAGTGAAGGACTGCTGGGACTAGGCGCAGCGCCATCTCTCAAAGGCCCATCGATCAGTCTATCCTTCCTTCAGCAAGTCCAGCAAGAAAGGCACTGATTCAGGCATAGCAGAGCACTTGATGCACCAACCTGGACACAGAAGATTATTATTTGAGAACACAGAAATGCTGGACCACTCTGACAACCGCTTCACGACCTACAAGAAGAATTGACTGAATATCAAGCGAAAAAGTGGACACTGGAAACAATATCATACGAAAGCTGACTGGCACAACCTGGGGATCACAACCAGACACAATGAAGACATTTTATTTATTTATTTACTTTATTTGTATACCGCTCTTCTCAGCCATTAGGCGACTCAGAGCGGTTAACAACAAGCAGCGGCAAAAATTCAATGCAAACATCATACAGCCATTTAAAAAACAATTAACACAATAATACACTAAGCAATTAACATCAATAACCATCAATAAACATCAATAAACAACTCACTAGCGTCTCATAACTAAAATCATAATCCAAGCTCGTCATCCGTTGTTCCGATTCCTATAATTCATTGTAATTCATTGCACTGCCTATTCAAACGCCTGTTCAAATAACCAGGTTTTCACTTTCTTCCAAAATGCCATTAATGAGGGAGCTGATCTGATGTCTGTGGGTAGGGCGTTCCACAGCCGAGGGGCCATCATCGAGAAGGCCCTGTCCCTCGTCCCCGCCAACCGCGCC